CAATTAATCATTTTTATTTCTTTCAAATTACACCCTCTAATTATCAAATATTTTATGTTATGAGAACCTTATTTTAAGATCAATATACGGGTCTCTTAAATCACGTACAATTATTAGTGACTTGGATTTATGAGGCTAGTATAGTAATGTTAGTTCAGAAAGTGTTCTTGCCTCTACCAGTAGTACAAATAATCGTCATTTCACGACAGGAAATATCACCTTTAACAACTATACAAATAGTTGTAGAATGTATATTTCTTGTTGTTGATCACATTCAAAGACCAAAATTAGTTGGTCGTTCGTTGGTCAGTAAAGAGATGCTGGTGATTGTATTCAACAACTGGAAATACATTTGGTCGTTGAATGTATTATTTTAACAACTAAATAATTGGTGATAAAAAGTTTGTACTGATAACCAATTCTTTTTTCAACAACCAATTGTTTGGTTGTTTAATAACTATTTTTGTCGTTAAAATACAATTAAAGTAACCAAATTTTAGTTGTATTTCATTTCAACAACGAAAGAAATAGTCGTTAAAAATTAGTATATAAACCAATTATTTTTGTTTCAACAACTGTTTGATTTTTCATTGTATTAATTTATTTATTTTTTTTGTCAATAAAATATCATTGAAGCAGCTAAAATTTAGTTTCCTTTCCTTACAAAAAGAAAGAAGTGATTGTAAAACGTTTATATTAACAATCAAAATATTAAAATAATGAGAAATATGATCGTAACGGCAATATTCTCTATAACTTTTACTAATTCACATCATACTACAAATAAACCTTACTCACAACTTTAAACAATTATAAGAAGCAAATGAAAGTAGGTATAAATAACATTAACAAGAACTAAAATCTTCATGGGTCCTCAATCAATTAAAATATCTCAACATCAACTACAACTAAATGTTAATTATATCAAATATCATGATTTAGACAAAGCACTGATTCAATATTTTTATTTTCCATCTTGCTTTCTTGAAAACATATCATATGATTATTTATGCGAAGTGATATATTGTCACTAGACCATTGTTTCAATTTATTTTTCCTTTTCGCTATTTTTTTTTCTTTTTTGATTTTATATTTTGATTGTTTATAATAGAAAAATGTAAAGCTGTCATTCCGCCCCTTTAAAATTGTTATAATGTAGTTAAAATCATTTTTTGGACAACTAATAGAAAAGTGACTGGATTCCATCCATTTGTCCTTCAGCCGCACACAATTGACAGGTTTGGGACCACGAGTGCAACAAATCAAAGGTTAAGGTAAAACTGCAATGATTTGAAAGATTTGGGGTTGTAACTACAATTATTCCAATTTTTTAATCGAGTCATTAAATTCAAACATAAACCAAACGTTTTGGCTTGATTTAAACCATGGTTTCATCATATATTTTTTTCCTATTCACTTTAATATTAGTAGATAATTGATTATAAAAAAATTATATTTTCTTGGCAATACAATAAAATAACTATATATTTATTAAATTATAAATCTAAATTATAACAATGACAAAACGTTCTGTAAACTTTTTTAGGACAATACCATATAAAATAAAAAGTATTAATACGATAAGTAGACTTAAAATAATGAATATAAATCTCCTCTGTAAGTAGACTACATGATTTGAAATAGTATCAAGGAATAAAAATGTCTAAGCCTTATAGTTAGGTTTAAGTAGGGTCCTTTGTCTAACAGTATTCATGCGCCGTGACGGTTCACAATTTTTATGCTCAAGATAGCAAAATAATTTTATTTTATTTTTTTTGACGGAGGAACTCGTAACCTCTACCATTCGGATGCGCACTAGGTAAACCGTCGGATTGACGCAATAGCCTGCAAACCACGCCAACCAGATAAATCGCACTAAACAAGTCCGGTGCGACACGCTCGACCGAAAAAGTGTTGGTAGGGGAATTGAACTCATGACCAAAGGCCTCCGCGCTCACAAAATATTATGTGTAATTTTTTCATTTTTCTTATTTAGAAACTAAAAAAATTATATGATGGACCCAGGGTCGAATTCAGGGACGGGAAGGTCAGTGCTACAGCCCGTCCGTCCGTCTGCCCCAAATCCCCTCTAAAAAAATCTAGTTAAAAAAAAATTTTGTGTAATTTTTTTTTTTTTTTGTATTATCCCGTGTTTATGCTGGAAGCTGGATCCGCCTCTGGATGGATCCTAGCAAGCATAAACTTAATTTTCTGTTAAGAGTCCTTTTTTTAAAGCATGTTTGGATAAGTCGAATGTATTTTATAAGTACTTTGCATGTAGGTAGACAAGTAAGTTTTATACTCAAATTTGGAAAAAGTATGTTACTTATTTCGATAATAAAATAAAGGGAAAATTGCAGCAGAAATCCCAAACCTTTAAAACACTTGCAGACTTTCCCCAAACCTTTGATTTATAGCAGCTGTCACCCCTAACATTTACATATGTTGCAGTGAATGCCCTTTTGGACGGAAACCGTCCAAACACCCGTCAGTTGACCACTCAAATAAAAAATTGACCACTTTTAACCAAAATAGAGGAGGGTAAAATCGTTCAAACACTTAAAACACCTTTTCATCTTCCTTTTTACTTGTTTTTCGAATTTCTGGCTCACGACTAACGAGAAGAAGAGAAGAAAGATTTGCGACGAAAGGGACAATAAACTAGCCTAAAGTTGGAGAAGTCAACGATGGAGATGTCGGATGTGCGTGCCATCTAAGGGGATCTCTACAAAAACCGGTCTATGGTACGTTTTTGCAAGTGTTATCGTTGGCAGTTATAGATAGTAAAAATCTTGAAAACGTAGTATTTTTTAGAAACCCATATACCTAAATGTTGAGATTGTTACAAAGTACTATAGCCCCATGTCTGTAATCGATTTTGCATTTTCGTTGTTTGTGGTGATTGCAATACGTAGGATTTTTTGAAAATTGCATGAAATGGACTATACAGACAAAATGTTGTAATGAGTACGTTGGAACGTCTATTGTGATATCCATATTTGTTCTGATTAGTCTTGTGTAATGATTTTCCTTTTCAGGAGAGAACTCCGCCTATTTCACGGTCCGTCAAAACCATGGTAGGATGATTTTCAGTAAGATGCAGAATTACGTATATGAACATGGTAAGATCAGTTATCTCGACTACATGGATCCAGATTTATTCAACCGATTTCTGTTAAACAATGCAATGAAGATGCTGGGTTACAAATAGCGTATGAGATACATCTATATGCTTGAAAAGAAAAGATTGTCAGAGGGGTCATTTTGGTTAGTTACTGATGCAGATTTCATGAATGTTATGAAATGGGTTGGTCCTACAAGAGTTGAAGATATGTATTGTTTGCCGATAAAATCACAGTGTTGGAATTACCATGGGATGAGAATGTACCAACTGGATGTATAGTGACTGATATGGAAACTGGTGAGATTTTGGAGAGTGTGTGTGTCAACAATGAGGATATGGAGGTTGGACAAAAACCTGCATTTGCATTTGAGGTTTTCGATGACACGGTAGAGGGTGATGATTGTTACGTGGTTGATGAATTTGAAGGGGATCAGTTGTGTGAGTCAGATGGTGTGGATAGCAGGGGAGACGATGTAGTGGACAATGTGGATGTAGTGGAGGCACAGGTAGGTGCAAATGATCAGCCGGTGGTGCAAATATGGGAGACATCAACCTCTGATATACCATGTTCAGTTGAAAATGAAGTAGGAATAGAAGTTGTAAATGATCAACCTGCTAGATTTGCTGAACCATCAACAATTGGAAGTGCAACCGTTGATCAATCATCCGCATTTTAGGGTGCATCAGGAGTGGATGATCATGGAAACATGCAATTTGAGGGTGCAATAGGATTGGAAGATCCTGTTGACATACAGTTCAAGCAGCCCACATTTGAGGGTGCAACGGGATTGGAAGATCCTGTTAACACACAGTTCGAGCAGCCCACTTTTGAGGGTGCAACGAGATTGGAAGATTCTGTAGACACACAGTTCGAGCAGCCCACATCCGAGGGTGCAACGAGATTGGAAGATCTTGGAAATGCACCTGTTGAACCCTCTGTTGAAGAAGCCATTAATGCTCAAAATACTAGCACTGGGTCTTCTGGTGGTAAATCAGAGGTGGAAGAAGAGGATAATGATATTGGCTTGGAAATTTCTATGATTCTGAATACGAACAGGAGGATGTGGAAGAGGACGACCAAGGCGAAGACACATTTTTCAGATTAAGTGAGGGATTAGACATGGAGCTGGGGAATGTAAGCAATGAGGGACCTAATCAGCAAAATGTAAACGTAAATGCAGTAAACAGTGGTTTAAACTACGGGAACTCGGATGACCTAAGAAGTATGTCAAGTGGTGATCAAGCGGGTGCCACAAGTAACAGCAAAAAGGAAGTTTGGTTCGACCCTTCAACTGACATGGAGGACTCTAAATTTCAAATTGGTTAGTGAACTATGGACCTGTTTGGGGCCTCAAACGTTTGTGTCATAGCTTTGGGGCCCCTAATGCTTATTTTTAAAATGATTGGGGCCCCCAAACTCTTAATTGACATAGGTTTGGGCCCCAGATGCTTACTTTTCGAAGGTTTGGGCCCCAAATGCTCATATTTCAAAGGTTCGGGGTCCCAGATACTCATTTGTTGTATATTTGGGGTTTCTGTTATTCACATTTACTAACATGTTTAAAATGTTCTGCTGCGCTATACAGGTATGAAGTTTGAGAACACAAAAATTTTGAGAGCGGCTATTGTACAATACTCTGTGAAGAATGCAAGAGAACTGTGATATGTAAAGAACGAACCACAAAGGATAAGAGTAAGATGTCAAGAGAATTGTCCATGGAAATTGTATGCCTACAAACAGCAAGACTGCAACTTAAGGATCAACACGTTCCGGGACGAACATAGTTGCACGTTGGTCTGGCAAAACCATAAGGTCCATGCGGTTTTTTTGGCCAAGAAATACCTAAGTAAGTTCAGGTTGGAACCAAAGTTATCCATGAATAGTTTCATAGAAACAGTGAAGGAGGACTGTATGTATGAAATATCGAAATATCAATTTTATAGAACAAGAGCAAAATATGCAGCGATTGTGATGGGACTTGTTGAGGAACAATACAAGAGTCTTTGGGACTATGGGAAAGAGTTGAAGAAAACTAACCCTGGAAGTACTGTGCAGGTTGAGGGAACAAGAGGTGTGTTCAAGAGAATGTATGTATGCTTGGGGGCATGCAAAGAAGGTTTCAAGGCTAGTTGTAAACCTGTGATAGGACTTGATGGGTGTTTTCTGAAGACTACACATGGGGGTCAATTATTGGTAGCAGTGGGGATTGACAGTGAGAATTGTATGTTCCCAGTTGCTTGGGCAGTCATGGATGCAGAGAATAGAGCCAACTGGACTTGGTTTATAGAACTTTTGGTGGTGGATATAGAAATGTATAATAGTAGGGCTTTGACTTTCATATCTAACAAGCAAAAAGGATTGGTTGAAGCCCTGAATCAGTGTTGTGAAGGTGCAGAATACAGGTGCTACGCCAAACATTTATACAGCAATTTCACTCTCAAACATAAAGGGCTAACTCTGAAGAACTTGTTCTAGGCTGCAACCAAGTCTACAACTGTACCAAAGTGGAATGCAGTTATGAATGAGATGAAGACAGTGAATGAAGAAGCCTTCTGTTGGTTTAAGGAAAAGCCTACAGTTCAATGGACGAGATCCCATTTCCAGGAGCATACGAAGTGCGATATCTTGTTGAATAACTTGTGCGAAGTTTTCAATGCCTCCATCGTTGTAGCTAGGGAGAAGCTTATAATCACAATGTTGGATAAGATAAGGCATCAACAAATGACACGGATGGTTGCAAAAAGGGAGGCAGCTCAAAGGTGGGATCGTGCATATGATCCAAAAATTGTAGGGATAATTCAAAAGGCTAAATCAAACGCGAGGTTGATGAGCAGATTATGCAGGTAATCAAAAATTTGAATGTGCATGTAGAAAATGGCAACCGAGTGGAATTCCCTGTGCACATGCCGTTTCTGGTACTCTGTCAAAGAGAATAGACATAGATGAATTTGTAGATGAATATTACAAGAAGGAGAGATATCTGATGGCATACAACCCCGTGATTCAGCCAATGTCAGGGCCCGAACTTTGGCCTGAATTAGGGAAACACCCATTGAAGCCACCAGTAAAGAAGAAGCAGGCAGGCAGGCCTAAAAAGCTCAGAAAAAGATCTCAGACCGAACTACCCACTGGAGTTAAAATGAGCCGAACAGGCATGTAAATGATGTGTAAAAGGTGTGAAGAAGCTGGACATAATAAGAGAACATTCACTGCACAGACGCAACCTACTGATGCACCACAGTCACAGAAGCGGAAGAGAGAGAGAGAGCTACAGCTACCTCAAGGAAATACACCACAGTCACAGTCACAATCACAGAAGCTGAAGGGAAAGAACTCCAAAGCAGTGTAGTCTCGATGTCATTGGATGTAGGAATGTAATTAAACTTTTTTGGAATGAATTATGGAATTTGATGTTTCGGGAATGGTACCATGACAATATATGTGTTAAGTGTTAAAATACTCTTCATTTCGAGCGTTGAAGTTTTATTTGTGATGTTATATATTGGATTTCATAAATTAATGTGTGATACCAATGTATACAGGTTTTTATGTTGCATCTACGCTTAAGCTGTTGTTAATTTTGTACTGAAAACTGTTGTTAAAATGATGGGGTATTTACTGTAAGCATTTGAATAGAAAATGGGCATTTTCCACCATTTTTTCAAAGGTATGGGACCAACAATCCACAACGTACGAAATGTTGGGGATTTTATCTGCACTATATACCTAACATTTGGGGCTTTCACTGCAAGATTTGTCAAACGTTTGGGTGTTAATATTTGCATATTTATTCGGCAACAAAATTGATCATTGTTAACAGTGAACATGTACAGAACATCACAAAATTGCAACTGCATTTAAGCCTTCATTAACATAGGGGATGTAGGTTACACCATGAAGAAAGGATCATTACAGATCCAGCTAAAAAACCTGAAAAACCCCTACGCGGATTTAACTGCAGATCCACTTCCAAACATTCCACATACAAACCCACAAAACCAAATCTTCCATACCCTACCTCCATTCAAATGGAGCTGCCTAATTTCAGCTTCCATCTCTCGTCTCGACTTCAGAAGACCAGGTATCAGCTCACTTGATCTCTGACACATTGGGGAATCCCACCAAAGAAAGAACATATAGCCTTGCAGATTCATACCTCGTGGACAGGTAAGAAATTGTCTACCTGGGTTCAAGTTAGTCCACAATATCTTCATCTGGGCATGAGTTCCACAATTGCACACTGTCATCTCCATTACTTCTACGTTCGGTTCAAGATGTTGATAGAGAGTGAGAAACTGACAAGTGACAGACAATTTATTAGGGTTGTACTAGTATTATTCATTTGGAGGGAACCAAACAAGTAAAAAAGGGCATGAAAAGGTGTTTTAAGTGTTTGAACGATTTTACCCTCCTCTATTTTGGTTAAAAGTGGTCAATTTTTTATTTGGACGATCAACTGATAGGCGTTTGTACGGTTTCTGTCCAAAAGGGCCTTCACTTCAACATATGTAAAGGTTAGGGGTGACGGCTGCCACAAATCAAAGGTTTGAAGAAAGTTTGCAAGTGTTTTAAAAGTTTGAGGCTTCTGCTGCAATTTTCCCTAAAATAAATATATTTTCAAAAACCAAAAAGACCCCTCTAGCTGTAGGAGATTTCAGTTTTTCTTTTTTTTCTTTTTTGGAAGAAAATTTAAAAATAATAATAATATTTTGGGTACCTGATCTATAATTGTTTCCGAGTTTGCATCCAAACATGTTTTGTCAAGATTTGAATCAATAATAACCATTTTTTCAGCAATGAAATAATTTAAGTGTTTTAATTTAAAAATTAAAAAAAACATGCAGCTTATCTATATTCTATTTTATTTTCAATGTTATAAGAATCAGAATGAATCACTGGGTTTAACCATCACCATTCCACAATCCAAATTCCATTACATACAAAATTTGAAAATGTAAAACCCATTAAAAAGAATATCTAAACAGACGGATTTACATAAATCCAGTTTGACCCCAGTTCCACTTTCATTTAATAATAATAATAATAATAATAATAATAATAATGGGGAAAAAAGGTAGAAAAAGAAGTCAACAATGATTTTTATCTTCATCCTTACATCTATATGCCACTTGTTGTCGTAATGTGAATTCGTGTTCTAACGAATCTTGTGTATATGAATTTTTAAGTGCTTCTCATAATGCATGAGTTGTGCCTAAGCCAATAACAAGTCAAGAGATTCTTCAAAAAGTGTTCTGATGATCCTCCCAAGAAGGAGATTACTTTTCACTAGTAATGAAATCATTTGTTAATTTTGGTATGAACTTTTTTTGTTGTGGTCTTGTTAGGATTTAGTGTGATGTATATAGTGGGGGTTGGATCTTAATTGGTGAGATGATCAACCTATTCTTGAACTCATTTTTAATTTTGGTATGAAATTGTGATGCTGTTTGGATTTCGTGTGGTGTATTTGGTGGATGACAATTAGTGTGAGATGAGTGAGAATGAGATTGTTGTAGGGCTACATATGCAATAGTTGAAAGTGAGTTTTGCTTTTAACTTAGGTTTCACGATTGTCTCCTTTGTGAGATGACGACTGAACTTTCATAAGGTCTTCATTGATGAGATGACCAACCAAATCTTGAATTTTCGCAAAAGCTAAGGCTTGCTCACCCCATAGGGGGTAATTGGTAGGAGAGTTTGAATGTAATGAAGTTGTCAATATTTAGGATCGTGAAATCTTGATTGAAGAGGAGTTGTGGAATTGTATTGTTTCAAGTGCTCACAATAGTCTGATACCAAGAAAAAAAATATGAAAACAAAAAGAGAGAACTTTTAAATGAATAAAAGACTATTTATAATTTTATTTAACGATGACCATGGGACAAGATCATCTACCTCATATTGATTCCTATTTATAGTGAAATAAGATTAACAACTCTCTCCACCATCTTTGTGACCAATGTTTATCTAAAGAAAAAATTAACATCAGATAACGAACCAACAACTTCGTATTTCTGTAGGACTCTATTACTTGATAGATTTTATCAATACATCTGAACTTGGAGTTGATTTTATACATTGTTTTTTAAGATTGTGCTTGTTGACGTCAAAATTTGAAAGATTAATTTTGAGCCAACTTAATAGGTGATTTGATAGAGGTAAAAATGATGAAATAGTATAAAAATAGAGAAATTTGTATTGAAGAGAAAGCTTGTAGAATCTGTATTGTATGTCCTTCATTCCTCCCATTGCGCAACCATTTAGTCATGTTTATAGGTTCCCAAAACAGCCAATCAGCCTCTGAAAATAAGATATCTATAATGCTTTCATTGATTATTGATTGGCTCTTTGAGGTCGGTATGAACAGCTCATAATGAGGTCGAGCTGGTGGGTAATTTTGGCTGCATGGATAGTGAGAGAATGAGAATGCTTGCATTGATTGAAGCAAATGAGGGACGTTAAAAGTCTCTCCCCTTGAGGAAAACCATTGGCCTCTATTTATAGGCCTCTAATCAAGCAACTTGGCCCTTCCACGTCACATCAGCTACAGTACCGATCTAGAAGTTTGTGCCATATCCTAAATTCAAGGATCTTGATTGGCTGTAGAGGTTGGTTGAACAATTCATCATGGCCTGGGTCCTGATTACCTAACACCTAGTAATCATTGCTGATTTCTTACTTGCTGAAAATGAGGTGTTGATGTCATAGGTTCCACTTGTCGCTTTGGGAATGGTCATCCAGGTGGTTATGACATCATTTAAGAGACACGTGTCTAGAATTGCAATGATGGTTTTTCTGCATGGCTATGGGTCGAGTTGAGCTGCCATGGTAGAGCTCATGCATAGAGCTAACCTCGATGCTGACTGTTCACGAAATAATTCTTTCGATTTAAAACTACCGCAAGTGTACGGTTCGTAACAAGTAATAAAGTGAATTTTTAAAAGTCCGAATATCGTCCCTCAGAGATTGAGTAGTTCAATTCTATTTAATCTAGCCTTAACCAAATCTAATTGAGTGAAAATGTGATCTAAGTGCAAAAAGCCCCAATTTCAATTAAAAGCCCTAATTTCAACTAAAAACCCTAATTTCAAAACCCTAATTTCAATTGAAACCCCTAATTTCTCAATTAGAAACCCTAATTTCGAAATTTCTCTAATTAAACGACTTAAACACTCAAGTAAATGAAATTAAGAAAATTTAAAAGCTAATTTATTAAAATGAATCAAATTAAAGTTACTAGGATCACGAATCCCCAATTGAAATTATAAAAACCCTAATTTCATAAAATTAATGATTCGATGAAAATTTGCCAATTCAATGTTCCTAATTCTATCCAATATACTCTCTCGATATATATTAGACCTATTCTTGCACACCACCAGCCTATAACTCTATGGATGACGCAAACATACAAGAATACATGTAGTTTTGTGAACAATTTAAGAATTACATAAAGCATAGGGATATATCTCTATCCCCTATCGGACCCTATGTTAATTTACACCTTATCGAACCTATTCCACTTCTCTCGAATGTAAGAAACAAGTCATCAATACTCACACAATCATTGGCCACTAATTGCGGAAGAAAATTAATGCATGTAAATCAATCAAATTATCCAACGAATCTTTATATCAAGTTCATGAAATGTAGAATTAAAATAACAAACAACGGTTCATCGATCACCTAGTAATTAAAACCCTAGCCTAGAAGATTAATAATTACAGAGAACAAAATGAAATTAATAAAAAGAGAGAATAACACCCGTATGAAAGTTCTTGAAATCTGAAATCTAGAATAAAACCTTGAAAACCCTCTTGAATCCTTGTGAAATCCTCTTCAAGTTCGTGTTTCTTGCCTCCAAAAGTTGTATTCTTCTTCTCCCTAGACGTTCTCCCCTATTTCTGATGAATTTTGGCTTTTATATCATGTCCCCACGGAGCCCCGAAAGAGTTTCAATTAAAAACGGGATTTCAAAATTTTTTATCGACCTTAAAGCCATGCGGTCGCATGGTTCAATTTTTCAGCTCATTTGGATCCCTGCTATACCCTGTGCGGCCGCAAGGAATTATAACCATGCGGCCGCATGGTTATAAAATTTTTCCTCCGAATAGCTTTCAATATTTTGGTCATAACTTTCTCTTCCGATCTCCGATTGAA